TACTAAGCTACGGAGTACATACTTTTAGGACCCTGCGCCCGAAAAATTAGACACGGCGAAATTATCCGACCCTTCGGAGCCGAGGTGAACGCTATGCGACCGGGGCTTTAAATTCTACCTTTGCTGTATTCGGTTCCAGTGTATGATTCAATAGCTATATACTATCAAAATATGTACCAGAGTTTCTCACCGTCTCTACGGAATACGGAGTACAGGAACAGGAAATCTCCTCAATTACCTTTTCCTTCTCCACTAATCCTGATCCTGACACGGCAGAGGACCACACGGGAAGACCAAATCCACGTGGCAGATGATCTACAAAAAACATGGCAGACACCTTTTTTTCCGCGTACTCCGTACAGGGCAGAACGACCCAGAAAAAGCTTCCGCAACTAGCGGTGCCCGTTGATGATCGTGATTTCTCCATCACTTGCATTGCGGTGGATCTATCACCCATGTGGCCTGAAAGTATGTCTGAAGGTTGTCGGGAACACCCCAACCATTAGGTCATTTTAATCTCCTTTTACGTTACAGTGCATGAGGCGTGTTTTCCCCCCCCCCCATGTATGTATGTCAACTTGCTATGTACAGCTCCTGCAGAATCAGCTTTGTTCATTGGGTCATCTAGTTGACTCGGTGTTTCGTCGCTGCAGTGTTGATGCAGGTCAATTGCCCTAATCGAGCTTAGTCCATTGGCCCTGGTTGGGGGCCAGAACCCAACGACCTCGCTTCGTCGGCTATGTATAATCTTGGAACGAAATGTAGACGATATCCCCAATGATAGGGAAATACCGTTGCCAATTTGGGTTACGCGCGTCTGTTGAGATGGAGCCATACTCGCTGAATAGTGTTCTACCACGTCTCGTCTAAGGACTATACGGTCTATCAATATATTTGTTTACCCCGCGACCGTGGACATGCACTTTATATACCGGACACATGCTCTTCTCTTCTGTCTCCAATTCCTAAACAAGGATGCAGATTGTTGACGCCATTTAATATGTCTGTCTTGGCGCCTCCGACCACGAAGCAACAGCTACTATCAGAATGGCATGCTGATGAAACAATCACCTTGTCAACTAGCCGCAAGCACCTATGACATGGCTGTTTCAAGCATGGGTCTTAATGGGTCTTAATGACGCCGGACCGGCCTTAGTGGTCCCCTGTCAACTTATCCTACTCTAGTACATTCTGCATGACCGGGATGATGTTGATCGTCGCCGCGAAACCAAATCAGGATAAGCAATTTGGGAATTAGCTTTTGATTCGCCAGCCAATCTCAATATCTCCTTTCATCAGACCAGCAGAGTCATAGTCAGATGTAATCTCAGATTGTCGGTAGTTAGCTGCTAGCACAGCTCCGATTCCACGGCCCGTAACTCCGAATTGCCCATGGAGCTCTTCCAGCCAACATGCCACATTCCTCCGCTTGCCGTCCCCTTCATATTGTGTTGTTTTTGCATATGCGGGGAAACAGACAACTCGCCAGTAAGGTCCATGGTCTCTCGGCGGGATAGCAATGCGACAATTATTCCCTCAGTGTCCCCCACGGAAGATCCGTGAACACAACTTCCCGGCTTGGAGTTGGCATGCAAATCTGCTCTACTGTACCCCGTACGCACGGAGTGTACATAGCTCATAGAGAAACCAAGCTTAACCGAAAACGAAAGTCTTCATCTGCAACATTGAAAGCGGGGTTGTCATTTCGGTAGCCTGCGACGACGCCGGTGGCCGCCGTCCGGGTTCTGCAGCAAGAAACAGCACTAACTAACCCAACGCGTTTTGCCGTTTTGCCAGTCTTCTTCACTACTGTATGTATGTCCGCGTGCGTCTTTTTTTTGGTTGATTCTCCGGCTACATTGCATGACACTACGTCTTGTTTTGGAGCTTGTCCTAAACGATTGAACCCGCGATCCCTTCACCCGGTCCTCTTATCGCCGCGGACACACATACACACACCGCACAAGCCCCATCACCACATCACCACAACACGGCTGCACTATGCCGATCATTCGAGGGTATGTGCTGCCCGAATCCCGGGCTTGCGAAGACCAGGGCCCATAATGGGATCATCAATGTCGCACACGTATAGGTTTCTGTGTTTAGTCTGCACGATGGGTGGATTCTTGCCTCCGCGCCGACTGCACCTATGTAATGTACACTACACCACTCCTTTCTCATTTTTGCCTCCCCCCCCGCTCTTCTCTGCATGGCTCTGCCCAAATGCAATTCCAACCATTGCCTCTCGGGCCTCTAATTATGGTCCGGTCTATTTCCAAAGGGCTAGACTTGACACGCGGAGAGCGGTTGTTTTCACGGGCTGCTGCAGCTCGCACGCCTTGTCTATGCTTGTACACTGATACAGGGAGGGGCGTTCCCATTTCGTTTCTCTCTCTCTCTCTCTTTTCGGCACCTTTAGCTCACTTTTCGGTGTCTATTTTCGACCGACGCCCGGGATTCTGGCGTCGGGAACCAGAATATGGGATCTGCAGGCTGTAACCTTGGCCGCTGCACTGACTGGATGGATTTGCAACGGCTTGTTCAGCTACATCCGAGAAACCCCCCCCTGTGTGGATTTTACGGGACGCGGAGCGGACATTTATTACATATGTACAAGGTCCTGCATGATTTTATGCCCTCGCTCGAGTGTGTGCCGATGTGTGGGTATGAAGAACCTTGAAAGAGAAACCGCCATGCGAGTCCTGCAGAACTGTGGAGTCGTGCTTTGGCGGGAAATGGACTAAAAGTACTAAATCTAACCCGTCAAGTCCTGGTGTCCTCCGACCCTCCCAGCAGCAGTTGCAGTTAGTACCGTGGACACGCACACAAAAACGCAAACTTTCATAAACATAAGTCGCCCCACAAGATTCGCACGCGAGGATGCAGCCTTTGAGTTTTGCACGATAGGTAAACCAAACGAGATAGGATACTCTTCAAGGTTGCAGATCCCCGCGCTGGTATCCTTCGACCAATTACCAAATGGAGGCTGAGGAGAGACAGAGATAGATGGGTGGATGCCGGCCAAGAATGGAAACGGCTCATCTGAGTTCTAAAGTCATACAAGACTGATTTCTCGGGAGATGGAGTAGCCGTGGTGTAGTCTCTAGGTAAGGAAAGGGCGCCAGCCAGCCAGCACAGTACATCGAAACTCCTCCCGCAGATTGGGAGGGTACATATACCAGCGTCGGTGCCAGTGTACAGTACATACATGGTACCCCAGTTCTCGGTGTCCTGCATGCAGCGTAATATGCTCATTCCATTCCAAGGTTCCGGCCCTGTAAAGATGGAGTCCATCGTGATCGCCCTGCAAGCCCCCAAAACTCACTCCCCGTTCAGGCTAAAGATTTGAGTTAGTAAAAGTAATGAACTGGATAACGTGCATGCCAGCAAAACACACATGTATGTGACCTGTCATCTCGGTTTTGGGTTTCTTCTTTTCTTTTTTCGGACACATGGCATATGTATGCACATGGAAGTGGATGGACAGCAACATTTGCCGGGTGTCCCAGCACAGCCAATATCTAGCCACGCTTATTGCTTTCTGTGCGGTCGAGACAGGGCAAGGGACACGAATGAGCAGGGTGGAGCAAGCATCTTTACTAGTAGTTTACAGTCTGTAGAGAACTTTTGCCTTCCCGTGGGGTTTGCGCCATCTTACATGACCATCTTCCCGGTCATGCATGGAACGTGCAGTAACGCTTCTCGGTCCCGGTCGCTCGGCAGTTGATTTTCTGGTGAGTATCTTGCAACTGGGGTTTACCTGGTATTGGATTCTTGTCTCTGGGGTTATTTTTCAAAGTTGTGTGTCTGGGGTTCTTGCCGAGGGAATTAGTAAATCACTCCAGGTTCAATACTATGCTGGATCTATTTCCCGCAGTGTCTCATACTCCAGGGCCGTCTAATCGAACAACCAACTTGAACAGCCCAGTACAAACCTGAAGAACACCATGTGAAGCCAAGCCTCTAATCATGCAGATGAACAGATGGTTGGGTATTCGCCACAACAACATAGTATTACCATCCACCTACCTAGCTTGGAAATGTATTATGTACCTACTAGTAGGCAGTATGCAACCACATAAACTTCTCACATCTAGGCAGAAGAGCGAAGAATAGTAAAAAACATCCATCTACACGGGCCTGGACCTCTGCTCTCCTCAAGTTGGCTTTCAGTGGCAACAGGTAGCTCACAGAACGCGGCAAGGTGCATAAACCAAGGCAAGGGCGAGCCCGAATAATTGAATTCGCCAGTGTGATTCCCGGGTTCAAAGTTCATGACTCCCACAGTGAATGGATGAACACCAGCACTACCAATGAGAAAAGTGTCCAGCCCAAGAGACAAAACCAACGGTTGGAGATCGCGTGTCCGAACGCTCGAGGTCGTAGCAAAGATCTGCGGTACAGTAGCAGATGACTCGATCTAAGTTTGGGAAGGTCTCGAGCGGTTCTCGGATCTATACCCTAAACGAGGCGCAGGGCGGAAGGGAACATGGCACGGCGTCTCTGATAGGTTCCCGCGCTTTTGTGATATATCATTGCTGGATTGACCTATTAGGTAAAACGGGCTGGGATCACTTCTTGGTGATGCTCGTGTTCGGTACTTGGCTGGGGAGAGGGGCAATTGCCGTTGTGCTGGTCTGGATTATTGCGTGATGCCAGTGGGGGTTGGTGGTGGTAACTATAGTGTTTTGGATATTGTTTCAAGTATATGGTTTGGACTGATTTATCACGATGAGGAAATGAAGCCTTACTAGTAGTTCATTTCTAGGCCTGGCATAGATAGCATCTCGAGAAGTCAATGCTTTTACTAGTACAAGTATTGACCATAGTACCTAGGTAGTACCGAGTACCTATGACTACCGGGAATGCCTGGCTGACGTCGAGTTCCAAACTTGAAACTATGAAAGTACACCACTCTCAAGTTCAAAGGACGTTTATGATATATCACTTCTATTGAGACTGGCATGAAAGACATGCAGTTAAAACAATGAACCAAGTCCTCAACCATCCCGCCACCATTGTCCTAGCGAGCCGCCAGAACCAGCCATATCAATAACCTCCTCATAACTAATCTCAACCCGAAACATCTGACCATCAGCAGTTCCATTCCCAGAACCAACAGGAGTAACAAGACCCCAAGTAACCAATTTCTCCCACGCCTCTCTCGAAACATCTCTCCCCCAGACCCGGCCAGCCGTAGCCGCCGCGCCAGATACAGAGGCAGATGTCTTAGCGGAAGTGAGCAGTCGCACATACTCCGCATAAGCTGCCGGGAACGAGAGCGCAAGTGGGGACAGGCTCTGCGCTTGCATGCCTTCGTTTCCGGGGTCGAAGAGAGCCGCCAGGCGGGTGGCGGCCACTAGCAGGGCTAGTGGAAGGGATGAGGAGCTTGATGAGGCGGATACGGATGTTGAGAATGGGAGTGGAGCTGGGTCAGGGCAGGAGAGGGATTGGGAGCTGAAGTGCTTTGGGGCTGGGATTTGGATGGACGGTTCGTCAACACCGTGGGTGCTGAGGTGGAGATTGGTGATGGGGAGTAGTGCACTGGTGAGGAACTCCTTCACGGATTTGGTTTGGTTGTATATCCTCTTCAGGTGGAATTGGAAATCTTTGTCCTCCCACAATTCCTGTGAATCTGAATTAGTCCGGGCGATTGAGTAGAGAGGGTTGTTAGCCGCGAATCTTGTCCATACCTTTAAATATTCTTTCCACCCCCCCAAGCAGTGTTTGCCAGCGATTGCTATCTAGAACAGTGTTCTGAGAGCTAAGAAGGTCTGTGATCTGCTGCACCTCGTCCTCGTCTAGATCTAGGCTCGCTTTGCAGATGTCCGAAAAAATATCATAGGTTCTCGGGAGCGGAACGTAGACATATCGATGACTGAACCGACTCTTGACTCTCTTCTCCAGCATCTCGGTGACATCAACCTTGGTGGTCAATCCAATGACTGCGATAGGCGCCTTTCGTGCCTGGGCAATATCGAACAGGTTATATAGCAAAGTCTGTCGGGGATGCGTGACGAACAGATCAAACTCGTCCAGCAATATGACAATCGATTTCGCCGCCGTCACCGCGTTCCCATTCCCTGCAGCGCCAAACAACTCGTCCGGATGAGACAGGAGAGCCAATAGAGTTGCCATAGTGTCGGCATGGGAGCTCACTTTAGCAGTATCGTCCTCGGTGTTGGTCTCACGGCCAAGTTGACGCCACATCTCACGAACAGCAAGGCGGTCATCAGTGTGAAAGAAACCATTCAAACGAACGACATGGAAGTCCTTGCTATGTTCCTTCGCAAGCGAAGAAATGATCGTTTCGATCATGGCTGTTTTCCCACACCCACGCGAGCCGAGAAGAAGCATCGAGTTTCCCTCGCCAACTGTCACTGTTTGTTCGATCAGGTGGTTGGCTTTGTTATACTCGGCTTCTAGACCCTGGAGAGGAATCTGTCGCTTGCCGGAGAGTTTCTCCAAAACGGCCGTAGAAAGAGCACGAATCTCATCGTGGTAGCCGTCCTTGCAGAGATTTTGCATCTTCTCGACATACTCGGGAAGAGGCTCCTCCTCGACTACCTCGGCGAATTCTTGCACCTCCGGCTGGTTTTGGAGGCCCTGCTGGAGTTGCATGGCGACAAGATCATCCAGTCCATCGTGATATTCCGGCGACGCGGATCTCTCCTGTTCCTCATTGTCTGCGCCGCGCTGTGTCCTTCCTCGAGCAGTACTCCGTCGAGACCTGGTCCTAGAAACCGAAGCCGTGGGTTTCGGCGACTCCATCTCAACGTCAAGATCAGAGTCGTTCTCGTCCGCCGGCGACTTCTGTCTGGACTTCTGCGCACTCTTCGTCGCTCGGGTACTTCGTGGTGTAGCAGCTGCCCTGCGAGTCGAAGATGGGGTCGGGGCATCGCCTTCGTACTTTGCAGGAGTTTTGCGCTGGCGACCACTTGTGCGTGTGCCTCTCGAGGGGGTTTCTGGTTGTTGTGCACTGCCATCCTCTAACCCGGCCGGTACCTTTTTGTTTCCGCCACGAGTAGATCGACGTCGTGAGGCCGATTGTCGGGGTCCGCGGTAATCTTCGTCTTCTTCAGAGTCGTCAACAGCCGCAGGGGATGAGTATGCAGCGTCGCTTTCCATTGCGATATCTCCGTCGCCATCTTCGGGGGGTTCTTCGGAGACTCTTCTCCGCTTCGACGCTCGGGGATCTTTCATGTTGGGCGTTGCGCTTGGTGTTCTGGTAGATGGGCGGGTTGGAGGAATTGGAGGATTGGGAGATAGAAGTGATTCGCTATTGTTGACTTCCTCCCGAGTTCTGTGCGATTGCAGGGGCAGTTGAGATCAAGAGTGAAATAGTTCTGGTCAAACAATGCCGAGCCCAGGAGTTTATTCGCAGAAGCGCATTGGCGAACTTCGACGGGAAGGGGTCGAGATCGAAATCAGCGATGATATAGGGTGGTTATATTATCTGGGTGATCAATCCGAAGTCGATTCGTCTGGGTTGCTAGGGACAATGGCTGGGGGTTGCGGAGTTTGTCGACCTACAGGGAGTGTTGATGGTTCGGCAAGCGCCCTTTCTCGGAGATGCGCGCCTGAGGCAACCAACGCGTGACGCGCAGTTGTGACTGAGACAGACTCCTTGCGCATCTTGAGTAGGAGATAAAGTCGATAAAATAGAGATATGAGCCAGGGCAACTATAAAGGACCGATATCAGGAACCAGAGTGTCCGACAAGTTGGAATTTCTTCGTATGTCGGCAATGTCTGCTCACATACCCCGTCAGTACTTCGTCGGTATTCCGTAGTCTCCTCCCACCACAATTACCGACAAGATGCCGCAAGACAAGACTGATATGATAGCGTTGGACTGCAGGGAAATCCCGGAATAAGACCGGTTTGACTCGGTCAGTTTGACCTATGCTCGGGCTATCTTTGTCGACCAACGCAGCTTACTACTAGTAATATTGAAATATTCCAGTGTTCAGCCGAGGTCCAACTTGTCCGAGCTGACCTTGTGGGGAACTGCCGCGATTTCAAGTTGGTTTCCTCATAGACTCCTTAGATAGAACACTTGTTCATTCCACTTCTCCAGGTGTTTACATTCTCTTCTAACCTCTTTACATAACAAATACACAAATACACCATGTCAGAAGCCGGAATCCAACGCCCAGCGCGCCAGCTGGACGAATTCGAAGAGCTTGTCTTCGAGTATACAAGTCGCATGGGCCTGGGCAATGAAGAGGTCAGTCCCGAGCGAGTCCAAAGTCGCATCTAGCCTAGCTAGCCTTCACAGAAAACCAGCTACTGCCAATGAACCCAGCTAACATTCCTTCTAGCACTGGGACGTCGACGGCCGCGACTGCAACCTCCGCTTCGAGTCCGCAACCCGCGGCCCACCGGCAAAGGTCTCCTTCCTCCTCAACATCACCCCAGCCCTCAGCAACTACATGGGGAACCTGCACGGCGGATGCGCCGCAACTCTCATCGACGTGCTCTCAACGACAATCCTCCTGGGCGTCTCCCAGCCCGGCAAGTTCTCCCTCGGCGGCGTGAGTCGCAACCTCAAGCTCACTTATCTCCGTCCTGTGCCGGAGGGTATCGAGGCGCGCATCGTTTGTGAAATTATTCACGTCGGGAAAAGATTGGCTCTGCTGCGGGCTGAGATTCAAAGGGCTGAGACGGGGGATGTTTGCGTTGTTGGTGAACATGAGAAGGCCAATACCGATCCTGAAGTGAATCAACGCATTTAGGCTAGACCCTGGAAATGGCACGGCTTCGGGAGGGGAGCCTTGGAGTACTGGTCGATAGACTATATACACTGGCGATTTTTCTGTTCTGTTTGATATCATTTCTAGTACTACTACTTCTAGCGTTCACGAACCTTACTTCAAGCTGAGCAATATTACTATACTACCTAGGTATGTTTGAATGTTGACCGATAGACTTGAAAAAGACAGGTATATTGCGCTTGCTACATCCCGACACGATCAGATGGATTCGGTGTCCAGGGCGGAAAACAGAACAGATACAATAGAGCGATGAACATGTCCAACAGAAGTATAATCAGCTCGGAATCTAAGCAGCGATAGATATTCAACATGCAACTAATCCTCTACTCCTCCTGGACCAGCTTCTGGTCCTCGCGGAGTCCCTCAACCACCAGCTCCTCGCCAGCGGCACGCTTGTACATATCCCGCACGTCCTCTGGTGTAACAGTTAGCAATTGATTACGCTGGAGGTCAAAGAAGCTTGCTTCGTTTTCTTGAAACAAGAAAACTTACCGGTTGTGGTCTCGAAGTGGGATGTGGAGTCGTAGCTCTTGGAGATGAAGATGTTGTCCTTCGCGCCATCATCCAGAGGCTCGTAGAGAGGAATGGCGGGGCCCATGAACTTCTCCTCGATAGCACCGAGGCGCTCGAAACCGGGCTCGAGCTCAAGGTGGTGGTTAGCATCGTTCTCAGCAATGGTCGAGACAATAGCAATGTAGTAACCCTTGGGGCAGACGTTGTGAGCGGAAGAGACCATGGCGATGTAGATATCTAAAGCTGTTAGTTGTGGTTCTGACCCATCGTCGCTGGCTGGAACTAACCGTGCTTGCGTCCAACCTGGGACTGAGGAATGATCAGCTGCAGAGAGTCACTGCCGTCGGTCTTGTCGATGGGGTGCTTCAGAATGCAGATGGCCTTCAGCAGGTATCCGCTGACGGCAACCTTGCCGGGGAAGTAGGAAGGATCGGCGATAATCTTCTTGGTCTTGGTCTCGAACTTCATAGCGGTCGATTGGTCATCACGGTCCTTCATGGTGGCCTTGATGCCGGCAACCTTGCCACCTTCGTACAGCACCTCGTCGATGTCGGTGTTCAGCATGTAAGTACCACCGTAGATAGCGGACAGACGGGCAAAGCCCTGGGGCAGTTCACCGAGACCGTAGAGAGGGTAGATGTAAGGCGACTTTCCGTAACGAGCCATAGAGTTGACATAAAGGCGGATGCGGTTGATGGTCTCGACGGCCGCACCGGGCTTGTTAATGTACTCGTCTGAGGGGAAGAGGGCCATGGAGTGGCCAACAAAGTCACGGGTGTTGTCCTCGAGGCTGAACTTGTCATAAACCTCCTTCATAGTGCAAGCGTGGATGTTCAGACCTGTCCATACAATTAGCAAACCTTCGCCGCCATATCGTTGAGCATAAATTGCTTCGATCAATCACGCACCCTGGTGAGAAGCGGAGTCATCCTCCTTGAACTCGCCAACCCACTCGAGGAACTTCTTAGCACGGCGCTTCTCGAAAAGACCCATGAGAGAAGAGCGAAGGGCCTCGCCGGCATCTGAGGGCACCTTGGCCACGGTCGCCTTGGGTCCCTTGCCCTGCTGGACATAACTGCCAGCAATTTGCTTGAACTCCAGGTATCTTGTGACGTCGGTGGAAACCAGAATGTTGGTCAACTCGCCATTCGCCATCAACAGCTTCGGGACCAGATCGATGTTCCAGTCGTTGACTCTTCCGTACTTCTTCCAGGGCTCCTCGCCGGGGGCGACGTTGCCATACTTCTTGAACAGCTGCAGGGGGAGATTAGCAGGGGTCTTGCTTTTCTCGGGGATTCGAACAGCGTACAGTCTCGATGTTGACAGAGGCGGACTCTCTAGAGCCACTGTTAGCTGCGTAGAACTCGGGTGGCGTGAATAGGGAGCTTGGCTCCACCTACCCTCCGTAGTGGTCATTGCGGTCGATGTGAAGGACTTTGTTGCCCTTAACGCTCAGAACACTAGATAGGGAGTGGTTAGAAACGCATTCGGCAATAAGAGGGAGTTTGAGGGAAGCTTCGTACCCAGACAGCACACACTCAGTCAGGCCTAAGATGAAGATGTCAGTCGAGGGGGCGTTGCGGTGGAATGGCGGGGTAGCAACAAACCAGTGCCGAGCACCACCACGTCGTACTCGGGGGCGATCTCATCCATTATGAATGTAGAAAGAGAATAAAACAAGACAAGCTTGAGATGGGATAATGGGGGTATGCCTAGGGGGGCAAAAAGTGGGAAGGAGAAAGAAAGTTGGGCCTGGTCCTATCTTGTCCCCGCGGATCAACGAAGCGGTAAGAAAGAGGAGACTAAACTATTTGACGGGCCCGCCACTAGTGACTTGCCTCCTGGTCAAGCTCGCCGTAAATTCGGACCCTTATGCGCTTTGGGATGCGCTTTGTTTATTTTTATCACCATTACCCCTGATTCTATATGCAGTATGGAGTACAAAGTACTTACTTACTCCATACCCCATCTCCGTACACATTTGGGCATAGACATGCATATACTACTCCACCACATGGATGGTCAAGGTCAAGCCACCCCTTAGAAAGACAGGCAATTGCAACTTTTGTTCCAAAATGGTCATTGATATTTTACATGGGTACGACAATGTGAACAAAACCAACAAAACGATAATATGCTACAATGTTCGGGTTCAAAATTGAACCCTTAATGGCAATGATTGCCACTCAATCATGCCTTGGTATCCTTGGCATCCTCCTTGGTGACCTCTGGGGTCTGTTCAGGGACTTCCTCTTCCATCATATCTCCGTAATCCTGGCCCTCCGGGCGGACTCCTTGATCATACAGGCGTGTGGCCTCCTCCCAGGCGTACCAGCGCTCACGCAGAACGTGCTTGATGCTCTTTTGGGTGACGACGACCTAGAAAAAGATAGCTGTCAGTATATGTTTTCGACAATAGCTTTAAACAGGACAAAGGATCTTGTGATGGATGGATAGCCCGTAGGCTGGAGAATGGGGAGTGGGTTGTTGCCATAGGCACTTCCGAATAGAAATGTAGCTGCCAATACAGGCAAGTTTGGGGGTTAACTTACAGCTCGGTCACGCGCTTGAGCCTCGTGGTCACCGTAACCTGGCTTCAATCGCTCTCGCTCGTAGTCGGAGGTGGAAATGCGATTGCGCTCTTTGGCACAAACCCACCACAGCTTGTGCAAATCGTCCCAGCTCTTCTCGCGCAGTTCTTGGATAGCCCAAGGGCGGCCTAGTACAACAATTATCAGCATTCAACATTACTGATCAAGACCAATTGCTACGATTCAGTATGCAATGCACTCACCAAAGTCCATATCAAATTCTGGAACACTCAATGCCTCGCGTGATGGAGGGAAGAATGCCCAGAGTCCATGCTCAGGAGTGCTGCGCTTTTGTATATTCGCAGGCGAAACAGGTTGAGGCAGAGGGTATTTCGAAGCGCTCAGCTTAAATCTGGGACCAGTCCGGTGGATGGCTGACACGCCACGGGTTCGGTTCATGTCGCGTCCACCACGAGCGGCGGCGACGGGAGTCGTGGAGAAATTCGAGGATTGCACGTTGTTTCGCATCGTCGAGAAGTGGAGGGAAGGGGCGAGATAGGCAGGAGGTAGATCCGAAAGGGCCATGCCCCCATGGCGAGCTAAACGGGAGACGACCGAGCGTTGCATTGTGATTGAATGTCAATGTCAATGTTGGTACAAGAGCAGGCGCTCCCGGTTGCTGTTGCGGTTTTTTCGGGGTGCAGAACGGGTCACATGAGCGCCTGGCGGCAACTCGAGCCCGCTTCTGGTACAATTCCGGCTCGACCAGATCGAAAACCTCATGTTAATCACTCTCGGCATTGGTGTTTCAAAAGAAAGATCAGCTTATTGATAACCTAGGCCTCTTATTGTCCGTCTATCAATCCTAACTTGATTGCCATATTTCACGGCCAGCCTGTACCTCTCCTACTCATCCGCGCGTTTAGCCGCCCAATCGATTCACTCCACTCTCAGGCGGAGCAGTGCCGCATCAAGTGGTCAAGAGGGACTTCGTGGACTGCTCTCTCCCCGCGAATTCTTCGTTGAACTGATTTCGACCGAGATCTATCGTTCTGGATATATCCGAGGGCCTCTAGGACCCCGACTCGAGTCACATCGCTGAGACTCCAACTATGAATCGACCAGGTTCGTCATTTTCTTCATTACCCTCCGAGTCCTTGCTCGACCTCTGCCCGCCACCAAGGGATACGTTATTGAGTTCGAGCCTATCTTCCTACTTCTGGAATGGTGTCGAACTCTGAGAGATCCTGCCCCGGATTCCAAAGACGAAAGGGTTTCGCCCTCCAATGGCAGTAGTTCTGCAGATATGGCTGTCCTATTTGCGACCGAGACATATTTGCAAGGATCACCTGGCAACATTCCTATGCTGGCTGAAGCATGGACCTATTGATATAGAATCGTGAAGATCATGCTAACGCTTGGTGCTTGTTTGTTAGGACCAGGCCCGCCGCTTCGAGGCATGTCCGGATTCCCCGCGCCACAGCAAGCTCAGTCTCGAAACGCGACATTGCCGACTGCGCGATTGCCAAACGGGAAGTTAGGTAGGTATACGTCCGGCCTTGAGATCGAGAGATCTACAACAGAGACATTAGTGGATGCTAATGCTGGGGGGGCCTACGATTTAGGTGGCGCAGCCAATTGGAACTTCAACCTCCCCCGTAGGCGGAACTTCTACTCTACAAACCAACCAACAACGCACAATGGGAACTATGGGTAGCTTTGCGCAAAGTCTTGGAGGCTCCCAACCAGCGACGCCTTTAGATCTCTCGTATGTGGCATCTCCTCCTCCTCCTCCATCGTCATATTGTCGGCTCAACAGCCATCCCTCCCGAGTGGCTTGACTCCAGTATTCTCGGAAAGCTAACGATTCCGATATCTCTAGCGAGTTTCCCTCTCTTTCGGGCGCACCGCTGCAGTCACAATCTCAGAACCCTGGGCAACAGGTCTGGGCCAATGCTAGTCAACGCGCGGCCCAACACACACCAGTTCAGAGGCAGCAGCTCCCGCCGACGTCACAGCCCCCTTCTCGGACTTCCCAAACACCGTCGCATCCTGTGCAGCAACCGCCTCAACCTCCTCACGATGACATGTTTCCTTCCGGGACGCAATTCGCCAATCGACTCGACGATTTCAGAAATGGTGGACAAGGGATCAGTAGCCAGCTCGGAGCCGGCAGCCAGCCTCAAACAGGTAACATTGACGAGTTCCCTCCTTTGGGCCGAAATGCTGCTGCTGAGATGGCTCAAGATCGCCGAAGCTCATTGATGGCCGCCCCGGGTTTTGGAGGATACGGCACTGGTATGATAATGACGTGCTTCGTCGGTGTGCGGAGCGTACCGAAGAAAAAAGGGATCAATAGCTGACAACGGCTCGCAGGCATTGGAACATCTCGATCGCCGGTCAATCAAGGGTCTAACGGGATTTTGGGACCAGAGAAGGATGTAAGTTAGATCGGCGGTCGCATTTCTAGGCCCCGCACTCACCGACACTGCAGGACTTAAACAACACCCTCATGTCAAGCCAACGCAACTTCAGCGACCCGCAACAACAATTGCAACAAAGACAGCAACAGGCAAATGAGGGTCAGGAAGTTTCCGACGCGCCTCAAAGTGCAGAGCAGCCGCCTCTAGCACAGATGAGCGAGCTGGATCGCTTCGGACTAGCTGGCCTCTTGCGCATGATCCATAGCGAGAGCCCCGATGTGGCCAGTCTCGCAGTTGGTCAGGATTTGATGACCCTTGGCCTAGATTTGAATCAGCCTGAGTATGTATCTTGCTTCGCCTTCGGGATTCCGTTTCATGCCTGCTAACCGATTCGCGCCACTCTAGGCCCCTCCACACCTCCTTTGCCTCGCCATTCGTATCTTCCATGTCCGCCGTCCCCTTGGAACAAGATTTCTCATTGCCATCTTGCTACAATGTCGCCAACATCCAGCCCCTTCAGTCTCGAATTCCCGGGTTCAGCGACGAAACCCTCTTCTACATATTCTATAGTATGCCCAGGGATATCGTCCAGGAGTTGGTCGCGGAAGAATTGATGGGTCGCAAGTGGCGGTATCACAAACTTGAGCGTTGCTGGCTAACCCGCGATGAAACATATCCCGGGCCTATGGACGTGGAACGAGGAGTGAGCGAGCGCGGAGTCTACCTGCTCTGGGATCCTGCAAGCTGGAAAAAGATTCGGGTATGTTTAGCAAATTCGATCAATGGGGGTTGAACGACGAGTGACGTGCTAATTATGTTCTTAGCGCGAGTTTATCCTCCGGTACGAGGACTTGGACAACCGACTGGACCCCAACCGGGCCATGAGCCGCCCAGCAGCGGTCGGCCCGGCCCACGCTTCATGAGATGAGAATTTTGAGGCCGATCTCGGTGTAGTAGATGACAGTTTAACTTAGTTGAACAGCAACGGCGTTGGGCCTCTTTGGTTTACATGACTTTGCCTCAGGGTGGCCAATAGTACAGAGTCGTTCGGGATGGAGGCGCGATGATTTACCAGGAATTAAATGTGTTATGGGGTATCAAGATCCGATCTTACAATCAAATGCCCTTGATGATCTTGTCACAATTATGAATGCCTTGATTTGTCCTTTGTCTATGGAGTTGAACCATGTTTACAGGTGGATATACATTTGAATTTTTGACTACTAGTACCCTCATGTAGTAGGAGCAGCTGAAAATGCAGGTCAGTCCCCGGGCGATGAAGATATCAATTTAAACTTGAATCAACGATTATATCATTACACCCCTGGGCACTACGACAGTGTACTAATATGTCTCCATTCTTCTTGAAGCTCTTGGTCCCCTCAGAGCTCCGAGTCCAGCACTGAACTGAAACTACAGCAATAGCTAGCTACGTACTCCGTATTTGCTTTCCTCTGCCACTTTGTGGCTTCCTCTTCCCGTTTTAGCACGTAGATCCATAACAATTAGTACTAGTAGTATATAACTATGCCTCGTTCAGGTACTTGAATGCATAAGTACCTAGGTATTAGACTTCTAGGTAGCGCTAGCTTCAAATTACTATGGGTCTGCGAGATCCTCTTCAGTTAATTCATACAATTCCTTCCCTATCTCACCATTAATTTGATACTTCTCGTCGAGGGTTGTGCACTCTGGTCCTAGTATTTCGCAAGCATTTTCCCATAAGCCCGCAACAGTGCCAATATCATGATAATCAGGTTCAATACGACCCTCGCGAATGATTCTTTGAAGACCATCGGGATAGATGACCCGTAACCGTCCACTTTCAAAAGCTTTCTCATCTGCAATGACAATATATCTGTATGCAGCCTCCCTCTGTAACGTATGAATAGACTCAATCATCGTGTTGCGATCGTTACGCCGAGCTTCAGGGTCATCTCGTTTCGCAGCTGCGATACCTCTTTTGAAATGCATCCGCATCTCCACGTGTTCCTGTGGCTCAACATAATTATCCCGTAAGATATTCTGATCGCCCTCTTCAACCTCCCTGAAATAAACAGGGTATGCAATCTCAGGCAAAACATCGTAAATACGACGCCATTCAGACCCAAAATCAAATAAATTCACATCATCAAGGACTGCCCACCAAGCTTCTTCGTAAAATTGATTCACATCAATCCATTCCTCCATCATCTTGTCGTGGCGTTTTTTTCTCATTCTCGTTTTCGGCGTAGTGTGTGCGTAGGAGTATGGGACAAACTCTATCCATGCATGTAATGTTAGCTTGCCACCGAGGCTTTTCGCAACGGTAAGGTCGAAGGATCGTGTCGATTTCTTCTGCCGTGGGCTCTCGTAAATGACTCGGAGTTGCTCTGATTTTTCCTTCAACGGTACAGTCTTGTTTCCGCTCAATGAGGGTATTCAGAAATTTAGAAACAAGTCTTTTCCTTTGCTGATCTGGCGTTTCAGTACTAGAGGAATTGTTCCATTTTGTCTATGCCAGGTTAGTATGACTTCAAAGGGCACAAATCTAAATCAAGTGTCTTACAATCAAGTACTGTTCGATGCCTAACCTGCCCCACAGGGGGACCAGTCTTTTCATCCACATCAGACATCCTAGGATGCCAAAGTCAGATAGATAGAGTGTGGATAAGCAAAGTCTGGAGATGGGATAGTTTACAGGGCACAGAAAACCATCGCTGTTCCTTTAGCTGCGAGGGAATGGCTTAGGTAAGTTTTTGGAGTACATCCCTTCCAATATATGGTAAAAAACTGATTTTGCAGGTCAATTTAGTAGCATTGACTAATCATTCATTGTTCATGACATTAAACAGTACAACCAGCTGCTTTTTTCAATCCCTGACTTGCCACGAAACTTCTTGTATTAATGATGACAGCCTTCTGCCAAGGAGCTACAAAAGTCCCGGTACGTACTAGATGTTTTTGACCTTGAGCCTTTTCAATTCTGGAGAGATAACTAAGCCCGGCTCTCTGCAATCGCTGCTCTTGCTTGTAATTGCGTTGTCTGCTTTCCACTACTAGTAGGGGATAGGATGAATACTGAAGAGCCTCACTCTTGATATCTGGCTATAATGCTCAAGTTTTCATGCCGTCGCAGCTTTCATAAGCATCCCCAAGATCTCGAGGTCTTGTCTAGCATCAGACGGAGTGGTCTTTGGAATCTTTCCCTTTGCGACCCATTGGTATACCTCTTTTAGCTCCAGCATGAAAGGATCTTCGTATGTCCGTCGTGTGTTGGATTCTCTATACGACCCATCCGGTAAAGTCTCCTTAACCACCATCGTTGTTGGCAAGCCTTTGATGAATGGGGAATCGATGCAAACCTTAACAGTCTTTTTGTCGCCAAAAATTTCTATCGAGGCATCGAATCTTGCGACCTGATCGACACCGGACTCGTATGCGACCGCGAAGTTGGGGTATTGGAAAATTGCACTGTCATAGTTAGCCTAACCAAGACAGTATTTGTTTTTCTCGGGGTGAAGTTAACCTCCAAAATGGGGACCCGACAGTTGCACAAGGTGAGAATCCTACGACACCTTTGGGCATACCCATGATTTCCCGCATGGCACTTAAATCATGTGAGCCGAGGATGGAGAGCATTTCCCACATCATATTCGTTTCCTTTGTGACAGTGATTCCAAGCTCAATTTGGAGGGCCTGCTCCATGTCGTCAAGTGTTTTCGTACGAAGCACTTCGGAATCCGCTTCACTATAGTCATTAAATGTCCTTGGATATGTTCCGGATTGCCCCACAAAGACAGAGTTTGGCCCGATGATATCGCGGACGCGAGCATAACGTATTTGCCCAATACTTCCAACCTCTTTGACTGCGTCGATGAAAGCTGCAGAGTATCTCCTCATGTAACCAATGAACACTCTGGCACCACCTGCTGCCTTATCCGCAGCTATTATACGGTCCGTATCTTGCAAAGTCAAAGCAATTGGCTTCTCGATAAAGACGTATTTGTTTGCTTGCAGTGCGAGTACTGCGTCGGATGCGTGGAAAGCATGATTATTTGCTATCAATACTAGTTCCACTTCCGGCGCGTTGCAGAGTTCGTCGACGCTTCGGGTATACTTAGGCCTAGAGTTACCTGCGACTCTGAGTTGGCTATGTTTCATAGCTTCCTCAGAGACATCGCAAAGGTATGTGACCTGAAAAATATGGGACAATGAGTTCAGAGAGGGTATATGGACGACTTGCGTAACCATACCACACCTATAAGAAATTAGCATGCGTTCCGAGTGCGAAGCGTTAATCATTTCAACCGACCCTATGATACCAACTTTAACAATACGCCCACCTGGCGTAGCTTCAGTAGGCTCCATGCCGAACATTTTGAAGATTGATAGATGTCTCGAGGGGAGATGAAATTTTTCTTTTTCGAATAAAAATCGACATTAGACACATATGCAGCATCAGCCAAAAAGACCACGGAAGGGGAAATAACTTTGCTATTTACACCGAGGGACAGCGGACGGATGTGACCACATGGCTTCTATGTACGGCTTGTCGTCATAACTGCCCTACCAAAGTACACCAACCTACGATGCTCCTAATGTGATTGGACGCCACTCGGAGCGGAGCGGTAAGGTCGGATCGGATGATCCGCAGGGCTTCGATTCTAGTGAACGAAGTCCGCTGTGTAGATTCAACACCTTGTGATTCGTAGAAGCTTCCGGCAATCGCGACTTTTGTGAAAACTTAATCCATTGTGGATATGCCGCCGGCCAAACAGTATCGTTCATGGGTCTAATAACGAGTCGGATACTGACTCTATCTACTGGTCTTTTCGAACACGATATCATCACTGCAAAGCCAATAGTCCTTGCCGAAGCTCTAGCAGCTAAATGGAATAAACAAGGCAACTATTATATGTTTTGTAGAGCGTTTTCATCCAAGAAGAATTGTCTCCTTTCATCAAAGCATGTCTTCGAATTGGATGTCACGCTAATGTTATTGAAAATCGCAGTCTAAGATAGGTATATTCATGCTGGGTAGGAAGCTCCAATCGAAACTACTGAAATCTCCTAGTTCTTCTGAATCAAATATCTGCCACGGTACAGAAAGCTCGGCCACTGAAGGCTGCATTTGCACTTCCTCGTCGTCAGTAGGTTCGCATCGGACGGGCAACGTATTATTTGGAAAGTCTTCGGAACATTGATTGAGAGATTGAAGCTGTTCAGTCTTCTGCAACCTTGAAAGGCCAATTAGCTTCGTTGCAAGTTTCAACGCTTCCGTTATTGTCGAGCTAGGGATAGCACGTGCCACGTCTTCGAATGCTCGCAAAGCTGTTGGTATTTGTGCAAACGAGCTCGTTGTGTCGATGGCAAGCATGGCGCAGAGAAATTGGAAAGGCACATTGGCCAGGTGCCACCAGGGCTTTTGGCGCCGCGCAAGTCGTTTCGCTGCTTGCAGACCATCAAGCCCGATTTCAACCAGACGAGCGAAGGTCTGCTTATCGAGAACAGTGGCCTCACACGATCGTAGAATGCGATGGAAACACAGAGCCATTATGGTACGCGATAGCAAAACTCCGTCGTGGCACTGCTGGGCATCGAGCGCAGCCAGCTTCCTTATGCTCAGTTCGAATACCTCAGGATTGCTTTGATTCTCCGGACAAAGCGCTTCCGAGATATGATAAAGGTAGATCATCTGTTCTTCTGGTGTAGCAGAAACCGGGTTGGAAGGCGTCGGCGGTACGATCAAGGTATCAAAATGAGTCTTGATTGGCGGCCGACCACACTCGTGGGCGATCCAGGTGTTCAACAAGCGCGCGATCCACAATGTCTGCCAAGGCTCAAAGTATAAGTCCTGTGAAATCGTGACACTAGTTAAATCTTTGACATCCTTTTCCATCATAGCGACGGTATGCATGGTCGTGCAGCTTGCCATCCACGTGGTGTAGGGTCGGGCAGTTGCGCGCAGATAAAGCGTTCTGAGCACCAACGCTGCTATTAAGTCGAAGCCTGGTGTGGAAGTCCGTGTCATATCTTCATCTAGACAGGCTTGTGCATTTCGAGCAAGAGCCATGTGTCTGTTCTCTTGGGTTGCTGAAACACCATCGCTAAAAAGCGAGCCTAAGGCGACTATGCCAAAGAGAATAGCATTGTACGGTTGGACCCCGCCCGTGGAGGAGAATTTCTTAGCTATTGTCTCGTGAACTACATTTGGGCGAATGAAAGTGTACAGTGGATGCACACTCTCAAAGAAACACGTCGCAAACTGTCGCATATGGTCGAACGACAGAGCTGAAGTCAACGTTGCAGTCGCGTTGTTGTCACCTGAAAATTCACACAGCGGCGAGGATTGTAACATACGGCCAGATTGCTCGCTGTGAAGGTCTGCTTGTAGTCGATCCGCTACCGAACTACTGGATGCAGTGTAGGAAATAGCTTCTCGTGAGATGGTCTCTCGAGACCGCTCCAGCTGCCGGCCTTTGCCTTCGGCAGGTTGCTGGATGGTTAGTCCGGTGCCTAATGACGCGGAGTTGGATTCATGGGCAGTTTGGTCCGGTCTGGATGCTTGTCGTAGTGCTCGCTTGAGCCGAACACGCGATTCAAGGGAAAAAAAGCATTTGTACTGATATCTTAGGCAGGTGGCACACGGCTCCGTGCCATCGCAGCGCTTTTTTCGGTGCTTGCAAGGCTCGCATGCCCGGAGAGCCCTATGACGCGATGCTCCTATAGTGCTCCCCGTCTGTTCCGCCATGTGGTCGGATGAGTGCTAGTTCGGTGAATTTCTCAGTAGAAAATAGATAGTGGAAGTCTGTCGGGGCGGATTGTCGTCGGATCGGATGGTCCGCCGAACTCCGACCCTAACAAATGAGCCCAGATTTGATACTTCGTCAACACGCTCAGCTGGCCTCGATACTGCCATCCTCATAAACTTGTCAATAACTATAAAATGTCAGACAAGGCCCAAGTTAAAACTGTGATGGTACCCTTGCTACCTGGCCCTGGCCACCTTTCGGCATTCAACATTCGGAAAATCGATGATAATGCAATCCATCAACCAGTGTCGAAAATTTCATCGGACTGTCCAGTCCATCAGTCACCTCAAATCGCGGTCCATCGGCGACAACAATGATATTGATCCTAATGGTTCGGCGGACTCATGAAAACATGGACAGGAGCGGGGAGAGGACGCCAACATTCGTGCTTTTACATCTTCTACCATGGATACGCAGCAAGTGATCGAAGATGAGCAACTAAATTACGACTCGAACGATCGCGTGGCAGGCTTGAGCGACATGGAAAAAGCAAATACCGTGGCTGCCCCGTCCTACATTGTGGTGGGATTCGATGATGACTGCGATCCCTTGAACCCACAAAGTTGGTCGTATGGCTACAAATGGATGGTCACTTGTGCTGACCAATGTCTTTAGGCTGGCCCTATGGTCATAGTCTCAGTGCCCATGTATGAGAATCTAGGTGTGCACTGGACTCTCACATTATTGGGCTGCATCGCAACCCTGTTGGCACCGGTGCCGTACGTCTTCAAGCACTACGGTGCCATAGCGAGAAAGAAGAGCAAGGGAGCAACGGGCTTTGAATAAGACGACTACTGCTAACAGACAATATCCTTGGGTTGGGTTGTTAGACTTCACTATATAATGGCCCTGGCAGGAAATGTCAAATCAAAGACAATTGGACTGGTGTCACGCTAAGGGATGACCAACCAGTCCGCCTCTGTCCCACCCATTTTTCATGTCCAGATTCATGAACGAAATTTAAGAAATATTAACGGAACTCGAATACTTTGTGTTTTTAGAATTCTCTTGGTTTGATGGTTCTGGTCTTTGACTTCCTGCCGGGCTGTCTTCTTGGTCTAGCTAGCCTAGGAAAGAGCACGTTGGATCCTGAGCGACGACGGTAATATCCATGGATATCCATGGATTGGGTTTGTTCCATGAGGACCTCGGGAGCTAGCAATCTCTTCGATATATAAGCCGTATCACCTACTACTGGAACCTTGGAGCAGGACGACACTACTGGTATAGTACTATTGAAGGTTAATGGTAGTACTATTACTATGTTTACCATGGTGATGCTTCAAGGTTTGTTATCCATGGATACTACTACTAGTAGGAGCAAATCCACGTTACGGTCGGGCTCGAAAAATACTAGTATATCTCTGAAAGCCCATACCTTCCATCCCGCCTCCATTGATCAACGAGATACACCCTCGATAGTCAGATAAATTCTCTCCTAGCTGAAGTACTACTTCCTTTTTGTGCATAATATCGAGTTTGATGATAGTGTTGAATGGGTTGTATGGCTGCGAATCTCTCCAATACTAGGCTCTTCTTTTACTTAAGAGAAAAGAGAATTCCGCTCGCTACGTGTCAAAATGAGACAGAACTGAGTAAACGATGAATAGATCCAAGGTTAATGCTGACTACGCGGGGATAGTGAGGCCGATGTTGTGTAGATTTATCTTGCACATTAAGAGGCATTTTCCTACATATAGGAATGAGGTAAACGTAATTGCAGAAAGAATTCAGAGCTTAAACGCATACAATAGTGGCTATTTCTGGCTTGCCTTGCGGGCAGTTGAGAGAATCGCCGTCCACTCCATATCAATCTCCCCCTCCTCGCCATAAACATCCGTCAAATATCTCACCAATGCAGGACGAACCTTGTCGAGACTCTCCTCTCTCTGCTGCTCAGTCCACCAGTTCTTAACGATCATTGGAAACATGATCATCGTCATTTCTACAAATTCAGGTACTTTGAGGGGAAGAGCCTTGGCTTCGGTTCTCACGTCAATGTCGACAAAGCCTCTTTGTTGCAATTGAGACTCAATCCAAGAAGTTGAATACCATTCACCATCGCCCAGCTTCTCAAGGAACTCCTGCGTGCTTGGGAATGGAGGGGCCCCTGGGATGGTCTTGATTGCCTTTTCCACAATGGAGATCCAGCCAGCTGTTTCAAAGTTAGTATGTGAGTTGTTGGGAACAGTATACGTAATAGGTAGGGTTAAATTGTCACTCACGCTTTATCCAGGTGGAAAAGGCAATACTGCCCCCGGGCTGCAATATGCGTGTCGTATCTAGACATGAATTAGTATGCTATTACCGATCCATTTCTCCTTTTCAAAATCAAGATATGTAGTAGAACGAAGATTCTTACCGTCAAGAGCATCGAGTGACTTTGGAACAGCCATGTAAGCTAAAAAACAGTCAGCATTCATCTGCAATTTTTATGGAAGGTTACCACGATTCCACGCACCAAATGCAGTCACAACGTGTGAGAAGTGATCCGAAGGGAGCTTTGTGTCCTGAGCATCCACAGTCTTGACTTCAGCATTCAGCCAGCTCTCCTCAGCCATCCGGCGCCGAGTATATTCAACCATGCCCGGGGATATATCACCGCAGGTTAACTTCCAGTTGGCTTTCACGGCGGCATCTAGCTTGTTGTGCAGGATGCTGGAGACGATACCAGTTCCACAAGCATTGTCCAACACAACCAGAGGTTCGCTGGGGTTGTTGTTCGCATTTTTGACGAGACCGCTTTGGTCCAAAAGGGAGTGCGCAAACTGGCCGGTGATGTGTTCACCGGTCTTGTAGTTCTTGACGAACTTGTCGTCCTTGAACATGGTCTCCCAGTCTTGTTGGCTAGCCATGGTGGAATTCGACTTGGAATAACGAGGAGGCGAAGTGAACGATTGGAAAAGATAATCTTGGTGAAAACTTGAATCGAAGACTGTAAGATTTCTTGCAGTATTGAAAGAAGAAGTTGCTGGTCGTACTGTTACTAGAAGTAGTGGTAAAGATAGAAGCTTGGAGAACATAGATAGATAATGACTTCGTGGGAGGGTAAATGGGGGGGTTTATATGCTATTTACTACTAGAAAGCAAACTATACGAAGCTCTGTGATGCGAAACCTTGGAAGTGTCCGACAAGTCTCCGAGTGTGGGGAGGCTAGGTAACCAGAGTTATCCATAGGCATGCCAGATATCACTGCACGAGATCTCAAAATGGGTTCACTACTGAATATCAGAGGGATTATCATTGGGGGCTGAGCAAAGTGGCGCTGATAGGTTCGTAGGGCGAGTACCCCCGGAGACCAGGCTAGAATAGAGTAAACCTGGCTGATCTACCATACGAAGTGACCAATTGGTCAAATTGCTAGAATAACAGACGATATTCAGCTGATGTCAGACGGAGACTTACTAACGAAATGTGGCCGAGCCCACGGGTGACGGCGATCAACCGTTCCCCCTGACCGCCCTCGTGCCAAGACCACAATCGATAAGGTCACATGACCCGTAGCTGTGCCATGCTTACCTGGGCAAATCATAAACAAAACAATCGCGCCCCTCTTCAGCTTTCGCCCGACATCTCCGCCTCCGCCCGCGAGCCGACTCGCATTGCCAACCATGCGGATCGTTGAAATTGTAATAGACGTGAGTCGTCAAAAAACCTCCGATGGGCTATACGAATGCGCTGACAATTGTACTTCCAGGGCTTCAAATCGTACGCCGTGCGTACGGTGATCTCAGGATGGTGCGCAAGCTTTCTGGCTCTGTTGACGGTCATCGCAGAGGGGCAACGGTCATGGTGATATACTAACAAGATATCATAGGGACGAAGCATTCAACTCGATCACCGGCCTGAACGGTAGTGGTAAATCCAACATTCTCGACGCTATCTGTTTCGTTCTCGGTATCACGAACATGAGCACCGTTCGCGCGCAAAACCTCCAAGACCTCATCTACAAGCGCGGTCAAGCCGGTGTCACAAAAGCGAGTGTGACTATTGTTTTCGACAACCGCGATACCGCCAAATCTCCGATCGGTTTCGAGGAATATGCGAACATTTCAGTCACCAGACAAATCGTGCTGGGAGGTACCAGCAAATACCTCATCAATGGCCACCGAGCGCAGCAACAAACCGTCCAGAACCTGTTCCAGAGTGTTCAGCTGAATATCAACAATCCCAACTTCCTCATTATGCAAGGTCGCATTACCAAAGTCTTGAATATGAAGGCAGTTGAGATCTTGTCGATGATCGAAGAAGCTGCCGGTACACGAATGTTCGAAGATCGTAGGGAGAAGGCGATCAAGACAATGAGCAAGAAGGAATTGAAGCTGAACGAAATCGAAGGCCTTCTCAAAGAGGAGATTGAGCCGAAGTTGGAGAAGCTCCGCTCCGAGAAGCGAGCTTTCCTCGATTTCCAGCAAACACAAAGTGATCTCGAACGCTTGACTCGAGTTGTCATAGCCCACGACTATGTGCGGGGTGGTGAGCGATTGCAAGTTGCTGGGGATGAGTGCGAGAATAAGCGAAGCAAGGTTCAAGCGCTGGAGGAGAATGCCGACAAACTCAAGAGTGAAATCGTCCACTTGGAAGAAGATGTGAAACGTGTCCGAGCTGCTCGCGACAAGGAACTGCGAAAGGGTGGAAAGTTTCAAGGTCTCGAGGACGAGGTGAAAGCGCACTCACATGAGTTGGTCCGATTGACAACTGTCTTTGACCTCAAGAAAACTAGCATGGAAGAGGAGAAAGACAAGGGCAAGGAAATCAAGAAGACTGTCAAGGACCTTGAGAAAGCCTTGCAAGAAAAGAAGAAGGTCTACGATAAAGTCCAGGCCCAGTACGATGCTGCAAAGGCAGAACTCGATGCCCAAAACGCGGAAGTGGAGCAGAAGGAAGAATTGCTTCAAACTTTGCAAACCGGTGTTGCCTCGAAAGAAGGCCAAGAGAGCGGATATCAGGGCCAATTACAAGACGCCCGAAACCGTGCCAGCAACGCGACTACAGTACAAGAGCAATCGAAGCTCAAGATCTCCAACTTCGAAAAGCGAATCAAGGAGGACGAGCCACGTGCCAAAAAGGCCAAAGAGCAGAACTCCGGTCTACTGACCGATTTGGAAGGGCTGAGGTCACAAGCTAAGAAGCTAGAGGCAGAGCTTACCAGGTTAGGATTCGAGCCTGGAAAGGAGGAGCAGATCTATCAAGAACAGTCCCAACTCCAACGCGACATCCGTGAACTTCGCCAAAGAGCCGATGGCCTCAAGCGGAAGGTTGCCAATGTCGACTTCAACTATACTGACCCTCAACCCAACTTCGACCGATCGAAGGTCAAGGGCTTGGTTGCCCAACTTTTCACACTGAACAAGGACCGAATCCCTGCAGCAACTGCTCTAGAGATCTGCGCCGGTGGTCGTCTGTATAACGTCGTCGTCGACAGCGCCGAGACCGGTACCCAGTTGCTCCAAAAGGGCAAATTGCGCAAGCGTGTTACCATCATTCCTCTGAATAAGATCTCCTCCTTTAGGGCTTCCGCCGAGAAGATTGGAGCCGCCCAGAACATTGCTCCCGGAAAGGTTGATCTGGCCTTGTCTTTGATTGGGTATGACGAGGAGGTTATTTCAGCAATGAACTATGTCTTTGGAAACACCCTTATTTGCGAAGACGCCGATACCGCCAAGAAGGTCACTTTCGACCCCTCTGTTCGAATGAAGAGTGTCACTCTCGATGGCGATGTTTATGATCCATCTGGAACATTGTCTGGTGGAAGTTCCCCCAACTCCAGTGGAGTCCTTGTTACTCTGCAACAGCTCAATGAGATCAATAAGGAGTTGAGGAGTAAGGAGCGTCAATTGGCTACCTTGGAGGAGAATATGAAGAAGGAAAAGAAGAAGCTTGACGCAGTCCGATCGATCAAGCAAGAACTGGACCTCAAATCCCATGAAGTCAAGCTTACCGAAGAGCAAATCAACAACAACTCTTCTTCTTCCGTAAGCACTACCTTTTTCTGACTGCTGTGCTATGCTAAACTGGAATAGATTATTGCTGCCGTTGAAGAGATGCGAGCAAACATCGAGCAACTGAAGCAAGATATTGCAGATGCCAAAACCCGACAAGCTGAGGCCGCCAAAGATATTAAGCGCATTGAGAAAGACATGAGCGAGTTTAGTGACAACAAGGATAGCAAGTTGGCGGAGCTGCAGAGCTCACTCAACACTCTCAAGAAGAACCTCACCAAGAATTCTGCTTCTGTGAAGGAGCTGCAAAAAGAGCTGCAGTCATCGCGTCTTGATTCTGAGCAGGTTGGAAGCGATCTTTCAGCTGCCGAAGAACAATCAGCAGAGTCGGAGAACACGCTAAAGGCTCAAGTCGAAGAGATTGATTCTCTGAAGCGAGAACAAGCACGACTCAAGGTATGTTTCTTGCTTTTGACTGAAAATCCACGAACCTGAAATTGACGTTTTCTTTTCCCTCCAGGATGCCCATGATGTTGCTCAAGCCCACCTCGAAGATGAGAGAGCCAAGTTGACCGGCTTCGACGACGAGTTGCGGGAACTCGAGAAGACGATGAAGACCAAATCCTCGCAAATCACTGAGGAGGGTTTGGTGATGCAGAAGCTTGGCCACCAGCTTGAGAAGCTGCAGAAGGACCAGAACACTGCCGCCCAAGTCGTTGGCCATCTGGAGCAAGAGCATGAATGGATCGCTGACGAGAAGGAGCAATTCGGTCGTCCCAACACACCATATTACTTCCAAGACCAGAACATCGCCGAATGCAAGTCTATGCTGCGCAACTTGACCGAGCGATTCCAGGGGATGAAGAAGAAGATTAACCCCAAGGTTATGAACATGATCGATAGTGTCGAGAAGAAGGAAGCCGCTCTGAAGAACATGATGAAGACCGTCATTCGTGATAAGCGTAAGATTGAGGAGACCATCCTCAACCTCAACGAATATAAGAAGGAAGCGCTCCATAAGACCTGGGTCAAGGTTAACGCTGACTTCGGCCAAATCTTCGCGGAACTTTTGCCGGGCAGTTTTGCCAAGCTCGACCCTCCCGAGGGCAAGGATATCACAGACGGACTGGAGGTCAAGGTTTCTCTTGGTAAGGTCTGGAAACAGAGTCTCACAGAGCTTAGTGGTGGACAACGGTACGTTCTAATTTCCGTTATTTTTTTTCTAATTTTTTGTTACACATGGCTGACTTCTAATAACCTTAGATCACTTATTGCTTTGTCTCTTATCATGGCCCTCTTGCAGTTCAAGCCAGCTCCCATGTACATTCTGGATGAAGTCGACGCCGCGCTGGATCTGTCTCATACCCAAAACATTGGTCGCCTGATCAAGACCCGCTTCAAGGGGTCTCAGTTCATTGTCGTCTCTCTCAAGGATGGCATGTTCCAGAACGCCAACCGTATCTTCCGCACTCGTTTCAGCGAGGGAACCAGTATCGTCCAGGCCTTGACCCCTGCCGACATGAAATGAGTACAATGAGCTACCTCGATTGACTATCCATGGATGAATGGGTTTCTTTGTGTTTGAGTTTCGTGGCCTAGCCTGTTAGATGCATTCGTCTTGTCTTTCTTGCCCTATTGGTGGCATTTGGTGTTCTGGTGTCGAGTCTGGCTTCTTGGTATGGGAAGGAATATTGGCTCATGATCTATACTATGCATGATGAATGTTTGTTTGGTGTTGCGCAAGCCCAGCTTCTTCTCTCCAGAGATGGCTTGAATTCATGTAAATCATTTTTTTTATTCTTCTTACTTTGACTATTTTCATCTGATTACACAATCATAGCGTGTATATTCCTCGACTTTGTAGATCACTGACTTGGCTTCTTGGCTCTAGTACTTTAGATGGGAACACCCG